AGCGGCGGCTTCGACTTCAGCTTCCTGCCCCAGCCGCCCCAGGAGAAGGCCCACGACGGCGGGCGCTACTACCGAGCCGACGACGCCAACGTGATGCGCGACCGGGACCTGGAGGTCGACACCACCCTCAAGAGCCTGAGCCAGCAGATCGAGAACATCCGCAGCCCCGAGGGCACCCGCAAAAACCCTGCCCGTACCTGCCGCGACCTGAAGATGTGCCACGGCGACTGGAAGAGCGGTCAGTGTCCCCGCCGGTCCCCGCGTCCCTCTGGGATGCTCTCACCTCCATCCCTCTGTTCCCTCTACCTGCTCCTCACCTCCATCCTTCCTCCACCCCCCCAGGTTGATCCTCGCCTTCATTCCTCCACCCTGTCTCTCAGGGCTGCTCTCACCTCCGTCCTCTACCTCTTGTGGCTGCTCCTCACCTCCAACCCTCTTACCTGCTCCTCACTTCCATCCTCCATCCCTTCATCCTCCGTTTCTCACAGCTGCTCCTCACCTCCTTCCTCTGTTCCTCATGCCTGTTGCTCAACTCCATGCTCCACCCCCCCAGATCCCTCCTACCTGCTCCTCACCTCCCTCCTCCATCTCTTACGGCTGCTCCTCACCTCCACCCACCGTCCCTTCATCCTCAGTCTCTCACAGCTGCCCCTCACCTATCCCTCCATCCTCTGTCCCTCCCACCTGCTCCTCCCCTCCATCCCTCATGGCTGCTCCTCACCTCCATCTCTTCATCCCTCATGGCTGCTTCTCACCTCCATCCCTCCATACTCCGTCCCTCACGGCTGCTCCTCACCTCCATGCTCCATCCGTCCGTCGCGGCCACCCGCCTCCCTCCCCGCTCCCTGACCCCCCTCCCTCTGCCCCGCAGGCGAATACTGGATCGACCCCAACCAAGGCTGCAACCTGGACGCCATCAAGGTCTACTGTAACATGGAGACGGGCGAGACGTGCGTCTACCCCACCCAGGCCACCATTGCCCAGAAGAACTGGTACCTCAGCAAGAACCCCAAGGAGAAGAAGCACATCTGGTTCGGCGAGACGATGAGCGATGGCTTCCAGGTGAGCAGGGGGACGATGAGGGGGGACAACTGGGATGGACAACCAGCTCCGCGGTGCCTAACGCCTCTTCTCCGGCAGTTCGAGTATGGTGGTGAGGGCTCCAACCCGGCCGACGTCGCCATCCAGCTGACCTTCCTCCGCCTGATGTCCACCGAAGCCGCCCAGAACATCACCTACCACTGCAAGAACAGCGTCGCCTACATGGACCAGGACACCGGCAACCTGAAGAAGGCCCTTCTCCTCCAAGGCGCCAACGAGATCGAGATCAGGGCTGAAGGCAACAGCCGCTTCACCTACGGCGTCACCGAGGACGGCTGCACGGTGAGTGGTCCAGGGGATGGTCGCGGTGGTGGTGGTGGTGGTGGGGGACGTGTTACGGGGACGGGGCTGATCCTGACCTCCCCGCAGAGACACACCGGCGCTTGGGGCAAGACAGTCATCGAGTACAAGACGACGAAGACCTCTCGCCTGCCCATCATCGATTTGGCTCCCATGGACGTTGGCGCTCCAGACCAGGAATTCGGCATCGACATCGGCCCCGTCTGCTTCTTGTAAACCGGACGCCCCACGCGTAACAGGAGAGAGTAATAATAATAATAATAATAATAAAAAAAAAAAAAAAGCCAAAAAAAAAGGGGAAAAATTTAAA